GCTAAGTTGGAAAAGTCCTTTGAGATCATCAAGTCCAACAATTACCCCAGCTTTGCCAAGACCACCACTAAAACAAATCATTGAGGGCCTCGTCTGCACAGTTTTTGAACACTTCCAAGGACAGTGATTCCATCATTTCCCTGGGCAGCCTGTTCCAATGCCTGATCACCCTCTCTGTGAAGAAATTTTTCCTCGTATGCAACCTAAACTTCCCCTGACCCCTATTTGGAACAAGAGACTGACCTCCACCTCACTACAACCTCCTTTCAGGTAGTTATAGAGAGCAATAAGGTTCCCCCTGAGCCTTCTCTTCTCCAGACTAAACAACCCCAGTTCCCTCAGCTGTCCTTCATAAGACTTATTCTCCAGGCCTTTCACCAGCTTTGTTGCCTGATTTTCTCGACCTGCTCCAGCACCTTAATGTCTTTCTTGTAGTGAGATGCCCAGAAATCAACTGTTTGTTTGTCTGTTTGTTTGTTTGTTTTTAACACTTTTACAATTCTCCTTTTATATTAATACTACAGTAGGGAAACAGTGAAACAGTAAATGTTACTCAAAAGCTATATTTTTTTTTAGTTTTGGACTTACTGGACTTGTGCAAAAGCTTCAGCACCACAAAGCAGTGCATTAGTATATAATGTTTATACCTATTAGGAAGCTAAAATTATTTATTCTTATTATAGAATCATAGAAAAGTTAGGGTTGGAAAGGACCTTAAGATCATCTAGTTCCAACCCCCCTGCCATGGGCAGGGACACCTCACACTAAACCATGTCACCCAAGGCTCTGTCCAACCTGGCTTTGAAAAGCGCCAGGGATGGAGCATTCACAGCTTCCGTGGGCAACCCATTCCAGTGCTTCACCACCCTCACAGTAAAGAACTTCTCCCTTACATCCAATCTAAACTTCCCGTTTAAGTTTGAACCCATTACCCCTTATCCTGTCATTACAGTCCCTAATGTAATTCCATCCCCATCCTCCTTACAGGCCCCCTTCAGATACTGGAAGGCTGCTATGAGGTCTCCACGCAGCCTTCTCTTTTCCAGGCTGAACACCCCCAACTTCCTCAGCCTGTCTTCATATGGGAGGTGCTCCCGTCCCCTGATCATCCTCGTGGCCCTCCTCTGGACTTGTTCCAACAGTTGCATGTGTTTTTCATGTTGAGGACATCAGAACTGCACACAATACTCCAAGTGAGGTCTCACGAGAGCAGAGTAGAGGGGTAGGATCATCTCCTTTGACCTGCTGGTCACGCTCCTTTTGATGCAGCCCAGGGTACATTTGGCTTTCTGGGCTGCAAGTGCCCACTGCCGGCTCATGTTCATTTTCTAATGACTGATCCATAGTCATTAGTTACCCCTCTGTGCTACTTGTTGAATTTTTTTCAGCCATACGTACTTGGCCTGAGCTTGGATTTTACATCAATTACATGAGGGGCCTTAAGAAAATAAAGTAATTAATCATTCACTAACTTTATACCTATACTCATAGAAAACTTTTCCAATTAGCTTTGTTGGTCAATGACTCCAAAGTTCAGTGGTTCTATCAGTACAGTGTGGCAAAAAAGATTGATTTACTGTCTTTTACAACCATTTTAATAACATTTAAAAGAGCGTGATGTATTTGTGAAGGCTCCATTGCAATTTAGTTTAGCATAAATAGTGCAAAGTCATTAGGTGGTGTGGCAGGGCTAAAAGAACATCAGTTCATTTCAAGGCCTAATGCTGATATTAATGAAGTTTGGGAAGACAATCAACTGGAGACTGAAAAGTTACTGCAGTCTAATTTAAATGTATACAAGGATACACTTACATTTTCTTCAATTTTTATCATTCATATTTTTCATCTCTAGATCAGTTTATTTATACATATGAAAAGCATGCAAATTTTTGTGTCTGAACTGTATTTTCACATATGATCCAATGTGACTATTGCAAAAATCTATTTTATCTTTTTAACATAGCAAGCATAACCTTTATATGTATGTGTACATACACATACATACATATGTAGCTTAGCTATATATGCCATAATGATAGTGAAGCTCTACAAGACATAATGGTTTTTAGTTCACATTCAGCTCATCAGTAATGTATTGCAAAACAGAACTATATTCAGTAATACTAATTTTGAATCTTGCGGCTGAAAATATTAAGTGGCTATAGAACTGAATGAATACCCTAATAATTAAAGTATTACTTTCAAGGAAACATTTATGTAAATTGACATAACTTTCATGAGTTTCTGAGCATTTTGTGCAAAATAGCTGATATAAATCCACAAAACAAGATTCTATTTTAATATTCTAAATCTATTCTAGTTTAATTTAATTAAGCTACTGAGCTTACCTTCACTTAAAAATAGTCTAGAATTTATGATTAGATGTAATGTAGAAATCAAGAATCTTCAAATCAGGCAAATTTAAAACAAAGCATCCAGTTACAACACAATTTCAGAGGAATTTTAGAATGATGTGGTAGCTGAAATTTGATTAAAAGTTTTGCACGTGTATATATATATAGGTCTATTATAATATATATATAAATACCCTTTGTATATATACCAAAGACTTTTTATGTATATCATATATGCATAATATTCTGCAGATAAAGGGAGGAACTATATTTGTTAGAGAAAAGTAGCAGAGGTACCAATAATTTTCAGTCCTTTAGTAAGTAATAGTCTATGCTATTGCAGGAGAGAAGGGGCAGAGGATTTCAGGAGACATAGAGTTCTTATACATTAGAACTCAAAACACATTTGTTAGCTTGGCAGTCCTGACACACTTTTGTATTACCTTAAAGAAGGATTCTAATTTTTCTGTGCTTCAGTTCCTGGTTATTCCTATTGTGATCATCCTGAGGTGGTTTAGTGAGAAATATTGATTTTAATGGGATTTTTTTTCCATAATGAGACATCAGGTACTCTTATAGTCAATTGTTAACAAAATCGTTGGAACACCTCATATCAGAATACTGGGTGTGAGTAGGTAGCACGGTATCAGTAGTTGTATTTTTGGGTAGTAAATCATTTAAATGTGGATTAAGCTGGGGGGGGGGGGATGTTGGTGTAAAAATACTTGAACAGAGAACAAGAAAAGTCAAGAAATGGGGCTTTTGGGGAGAGTAATCGGTCTATCAGGGAGGAGGAACTTGAAAGGAAATGAAAGTTCTTTGGGGGAAACTTGCTGAAGCTGATGGCACTTACCTTTTCTTCTTTTTGTTCTTTTTTTTAATATTTCTCTTATGCATCCTCTACCCATTTGCCTCTGGACCCTCATTCCTCAAGCTCACTAATCTGATTGGACTCCTTGTTAGGTGCTTTCTCTGACCTTATTGAGCTCTTTCTTCTCCACTGCACAGCTGGATTTCCTAACTTAATGAGTGGGAAGTTATTGTTCCCTCTCAGGGATTGATCTGCGGTTATTAGGGCTACTGCAAGTTGTTACCAGTGGAGGTCACTGTTTGATGGACTGAAAGATGGGTGGGGAGGGTGGAGGCAGACACTGTAAGTCTTTGTTAAAAGATACGGATTTTGCAGGTACAGTAAACAGTAAGGTTTTAGCAACAGTACTTTATATGGGTGATTCATATGTCACTCAATCAGTCAAACCAGAACATGTCCAGATAATGTTTTCTTCAGTGTTAGTGCTAGGCATTTTACAGTCACTTCTCTTGCTCACACTTTTCCAGAATATTTTTATATCCTAAAATTCTTAGCTTGTGTGACTGCTTACTTGATTTCTTCACTTGTCCTGGGTTTTCATATCCATCAGGCATAAGATTGATGTTTTCATGTAGGTCATAGAATCATAGGATGGTTGGCGTTGAAAGGAACTTTAAAGATCATCTAGTTAGTGCCAACCCCCCCCTGCCTTGGGCAGGGACACCTTCTACTACATCAGGTTGCTCAAAGCCACATCCAAACTGTCCCTGAACACTGCCAGGAATGGGGCATCCACAACTTTTCTGGACAACCTCTTCCAGTGTCTCATTACCCTCACAGTAAAATGGTACAAGCATTACTTCAGGTGCACAAGAGGAAGAGTTACAAAATTGGAGGTGATTCTGCATCTCATAATGTTGGCACTGTAGTGTCTTGCTAAAATTGTGGAAACGACACAACCACCAGCATCTTCCAAGTACAACATTAGGCCAGTAAACATGTAGTTTGTGGTTAGTTTGATGCAATTACTTTTCTGCTTGATACATGCATGCTTTGATTGTGTTCAGATTAGAGGCCACAAGCCTTAGCATCCTGTTCAAACAAACAGGATCAGGGTTCTGGACCCTGCATGCAGGCCACATGTAAAGCAAATGCAGTACCTGTTTCCTGAGCTCATGAATATGAAACTAGAGAATACCTCTGCCCTTAAATAGAAATCAAGTTCCATTCAAGATTTTATTTGAAGTTCTGTGTTTAAAAATGCTCCTTACGCAGTATCAAGCTATGCCTTTAAGTTAATTCTGATGTGTTAATACATGTGTCTATACACATATGTGTTTGTGTGTGTGTGTGTGTTCCCTTCTGGTTAGCAAATGCGTCCAGATAATGAAGACAGTCACAAAAGTCAAGACTGTATTTGAAACAGAAATGTGCTTCATGTATTACCTAAATTGATCAAATCAAATACTTATATCTTTTTGTGTCTTTTTATATGTATACACACACAATTAATGTATTATCTTCATAAACATGTTTCCCTACTACTTTATGCCAGTTTTATTACATCAATTTGTTTTTTAAAAGTTGTGTTCAGCTGGTACATAAACTCAAATTGCCCACCAAATTGTTTATTCGGATTGTTCCATTGGTCTTGCCTACTCTTATCTGTTGTTGGTGTGACTTAACCCTCAAGATATATTTTTTGTTCCCAGTCAGAAATGTTCATACTGAGTTTATTCTAGATCAACAGAGATGTTGATTTGATTGTAAGTAATGTGCTTTTCATGACTGGTGATTCTTTGTTTTAAAGTAGCTGTTATTTGTCACACTGACAGGTACACCTATTGAGAAATGCTGGCGATGAAGTTACCATCACTGTTCAGTACCTCAGGGAAGCTCCATCATTTTTAAAGCTCCCATTAGGTAAGAGGAAATTAATGAATAAAAGTAATTTGTTTTCCTCTTTGCAGTATTCTTATAATAAGATGACAGTGACAGAAATAGGAATTAAATCCTTGAGTGGTTTACAGGAAGAAACAGAAAACTGCATGTACTTTGTTGCTTAACATGTAAGGATCTAATGCATACTGCATGACTGCTTCTGTATAGCTTATTCAAAATAAAACTGAACAACTCATTAAAATGAAGTACAATCATGGGTGATATCTGAAAGCTGTTCTACAGAAGCTTTGCCTGAATACAATAAAATAGTGTTTGCAAACATCTGAATCATACATTCACACTGAAGAGTATTTTCAGGACATTTTCCAAACAAATGGATAACATTAATTATGTGTATTTCATACATTTTGATCATTTTTGTCAGAGAGTAGAATTATAATGTGACAACTGAGTAATTTAAAGGTAGCAATAGTAAATTGTTTATGAAAAATGCAGATGAGGGAAGTTGTTGGTTGTTCTGGTTAGCAAATAAAAATATCCAAGACACTCACTTTTAATCCGTGTTGCAAGTAGAAAATTGCACATAATATATCAGCTAACTTAGTCAGACTGAATAATTTTGTACTAATTTATCTTACATATGATTCTCTTCCCAAATTAAGCAAAACAAATTTAAACTATGTCTAGTTCTGGGGATTTATGTAAGTTGTGCTCAGCTATGTGCATGTTTTTTTTTTCTTGATACTAACAGAATTATAGTTCTCATAGGTCTAGCTCTTGTCATTAGATGAGGTCTGTCATTTAATCTAGATTCTTAGACCTATTAAAAGCAAACCTGACAGGCCTCTACTAAGCTGAACTATACATTTCACGATAAAACTTTTATTTCAGATCTTACTATGTGTAATTTCCAGCTGAATATGTAATCTAAATTCAGAGAAATCTTATGTTTAAATTTGGAGGTATTGTCTGGTTAGGGTTCCTTTTAATGAAACTTCAAATTTTGTCTTCCTGACCTGCCTGCTAGGTAATCAGATGACTATAGTTCAATATCTATAATGTCTTGGATAACTGTGTCCAAGCTTAAATATGACTCTGGCAAGGTAGTGGGGTCTTAACCACTAAATTTTGTGTGGCCACATTCATTTGTGGTTATGACAGTCCTACAGGTAATTTTATCTCATCTTGTTGATTGCCATCACATACACATTTGGATTCTATCACTTGTGGTTGGTTAATCTTAGCTAAGAGCCAAGCTCCCATGCAGCCACTCTCTCACTCCCTCCCCTCAAACAGAACATGGGGAGAAGATACAATGAAAAAGCTCAAGTCAAGACAGAAACAGGGATACCACTTATTAATTACTGTCAGAAATAGTTCACACAGGTCCAGAAATATTGATGCCCTCTTGGTACATCATGGCTGCATTGGCTTTCCCACCAGGAGGCATTGCAGCCATTCTTGTCTGGGTGGCTGAGATTACGGCACTGCTTCCATAAAGTGCGACTTCTGGTAAGAGAAAGCAGTGATTAGCAGGGCGACTAGATCACCTTCTATCTCCATGTGACCAGAGGTGTATGCAAAACTTCTGTAGATTAGTAGCTTCCATGAACACTTGAACCAGGAACTTTCACCTTAGAAGACCCATAACTCTCATTCAAAGGGCCTCTTTCATGGCCTGTGGCCAACTAGCACCATTTGGAGTCTGCCCCTGATTACTGTTGTTCAAAGAAAACCTGTTTGGAATAGGGAAGACAGTGACATTTTAGACAAGCTATCACAGAGTATCAAAAATCACAGCAGAGAAGCAATGCTTCTTAAAGACACATCTTGGATACAAATTGCTCATTTTTGGTGGGTTATTAGGCTTGCCTCCTTTATGCAGAGCATGAGGAAATCTTTGGCAAGCATTATACTACCCTGCCCAGTCCCGTGCATGATCCCACACCTTCAGTCCTATACTGCATGCTCAAGAAAACGACTTGTTAAGTATGATTAGACAAGTGAAGAATTTAAATGACCCTTGTGAACTGAACCTGGACTTCAGCACAGAACTCAGCTGCTCCTCTAGGATGTTCTGTGCAGCCGTCAAATGCAGGCTAAAACCAAGCTCAATGAGTCAGATACCTATGGTGACTTGACATAAAAATTCATTTTGGTGTTGAGGAAATAAGCAAATAAGGTGTAGAATGGAAAATAGGTCTGGTTTTGGGCTGTACACTGAGAATAGTCGTAGGACAAACCACCCTATTTCTGGAAGAGCTTTTCACAAGCCCATGCACAAAAGGGAATTCTGGTCATGAAGCACCAGTGACACATATAACAAGCTAAGCAGCAATTCTACTCTGCAATAAAGTACTTCCCAAGTCACACTGCAGGTAAGATTTACATGCATACATTCATAATTTTGAAGTCTATTGGCTTTTCCAAGCATCCCAGAAGACTCAGGCATATAGTCCTCTACTTTCAAGCATTCAGTCATACCAGCGGCTATACTGGCAGTTTTAGTACTGTGGTGTGTTTACTTCAAATACAAACAAACCGTCTCTTCCTATTAACCCATATTATTACTATTTCTGTAAGTACATTGACAGGGGTAGTATCTGTCTCCCCTGCTTCCTCGTCATGCCTCTCTCTTCCCTACACTATCTCATGCCATGGCTAGCAAAAGCAAAAGATGTCACAACAGGAAAATACCTGCCTACAGGTCTCACCAATTTTTCTGGTTGTTTCTCTCTTTCATTATTGCGAGCAACAGATATAGGATTTGGCATGAATACTGATGAACTGGCACTTAGGAATGAGACAAAGACTACTTGTTTCTGTTTGGAAGAGGCCCTAACTCAGGGTGGTATGCCAGCACTGATTGTTGTATCTTTCACAGCTGCCTGGGAATCTTGGCCCTTACTAGACTATTATGAGACTGTCCATAACAGTAAATTAAATTATGCCAGAAAATATCCTTTTCCACAGGAATTTGATCAGCAATTTTATAAAATATTTCAGAATTCTTGGCATAATTTTGCATAGGGCAAATACTTCCTCAAAAAACTCTCAGGCCTAGATGAGAAGGTAGCATGGGCCAGTAGGGTTATTAACTGTCTGATTCATTGGGTTGACTGGCTCCATGGCTAGTGTAATTCCTTATCCCATGGCCTGTGGTTTACTCTAAGGTCACTGTCAGCTAGAGAGAGGATAGATTTGTGATTCTGGAAAACAAAGGAAGAAATCCTGGGTTTTTTTGGAGCTGGGTCAGGCAATTAGTGGCTATATGGGTTATTGTATTAGTCTATGTTACAGAATAGATACAGCATCAGCTCTTGGTTATTGTCATTAAGAATTCTCTGGAGCTAAGTCTATTACCCATCCTACAGCTGAGGATGGCTTGTAGGACCCTTTTAGATAAGACTCACTGCTGCTGGGAAGACTCTTCAGCACATTTTGTGGTAAAACAGACTCTTCAGAGTTTTTCTTTTTTTGATAGTTATACCAAATTATAAGAATATTCTGAAGTTGCAAAGCCTGCAGTATAATTAAAAATCACCAGGAGTGTTTCCTTTGATTTTAATTTTGTGGATGTTCTGGAATGAGCTTTGTGTCTATTGGAGGTGTTTATGACATAATTATTAAGTTGGATAAATGAGTTTTTATTTACATACAGGAGGTCTCCAATATCATTCAACAATGTTGATCATAAGACAGATTGATGTAAAGGATAAAGTCTTGCTGGCTACTTGCTGGACATTGATCTGCTGACCTGTGTTTTGGGAGTTTTATTTGTTATTTAGTGATTTAGTGTAATTCATTGACTGAAATAAACAACCACGTTGATGGGACTCTTAGTTGACCAGACACCGTTCTAGGCCTTAAGGCTTTTAAAGTTAAAAGTAAAATCCAGGCTTTATTAAAATAAGTAATAAAATGCCTAACTTTTAAAATTGTAAAATCTCAGTCATTTTGTTAATATAAAATGATTTAAAAACAGCTCCTACCTGTACCACTGCAAATGAGTTCTTGCTTTAGTTGTGGTGTCAGGTAGCTTGGTGATTTGCTCTGCAAAATCCCCTGTGATCCTTACAGATTTTCTTTCCCTCACCTCAGAGTTCTCTCTGTCTTTTTCCTGCTGTCCCCAGGAGCATATCAGTCTCTTTTGCAAACTGCAGTCACCTATATCCTTGCTATCTCTCTCTTTCTGTGAGCCCTTCTCACCTTACAGGGTAAGGTGTTGTGATTTTTATTATGAGCATACTCAGCTATTGCCCAGGTAATGATCAGGCAAAGATCACCTCCTTTCCCACAGGATACCTTCTTGACACAGCCTTCTCAAAATTTAAAAAAAAAATAAAAAAGCCAGAATAAGCTGAGAATACACACATTAAAGAGATGAAGCCTGTCATAGTGTAGGTTTGCATTTCTCATAAGCTGGCTGTCTGTCTATTATTTGGGTGGGTAAGAGGGCAGCTAGGCAATAACAATTGCTGAAAATCTCACAATATACCAAACACCTTTCATCAGTACCCATCAGGATATTGTATTGTGGCCATGGAGTGTAGCAAACTATTCTCAAACTATTGTTCCAGAGTTTGGACTGGTACCTAACACATGATTTGGAGTCTCAGCTGCTTGGGCAAGAGCTACAGTAGCAGACAATACAAGCTTTACTTTGTGTTAGTATATTTTGCATCGTGTATGTTTTGTTGTAAGAACAGGGAGGAAAGACTACCTGATTGCTCTAGAGCTGCCATGTAGGGAGTCAGACCAAGCTCCTAGAAGAAATTAGAGCACTGTACCTTCCGTGGGATCTTCTATAATGCTAACAAGACCAGGAAGGAGTAGTCCATGGGCGAGTGAGGCAGAATAGGCAGTGAGCAGACTAAAAGATCTGTGAACTTGTTTGCAGTCAGGTGGTGAAGGTGACATAGTTTGAGAAAGGCTTGTAGTTTCTTGTGACTCAGAAAACCAAAGAAAGATGCTGAACTAAAAGGAAATCTGCAGTGATGGTGTGGGAGGAGGGAAATTTGTTGCTTAACCTTTTATTCTTAGTTTTCTTTATTTTTCTATTCTTATTCTTATTTTCCATGTAACAGATGTCAATTTACTGACAAAAAAAAAAAAAAAAAAATTCTAATGTAGCATTTTTAATTATGGTAAAACCTGGATTTAGAGATTTGAAAATATCTAAATTAATGTCTTTTGATATGCTCAAATTGCTGAAGAAGTGAGATAATTCCACTTTAGGAATTTGATTCTTGGATCTCCCATAATTACCCACTGACCCATTCTTCAGTGGAGAATTTAATGCCAACTTTTTTATTTTAGTACTTTTATTACAAAAAAGTTACATGTTATCTTCTGTTCTAGCAAGTCACCGTGGTCATCAATGAGTATAAACATAGATTTTTGTGGTCTACTGTACTTACATGGTAGCTACAAAACATTGTAGCTAGCTACTGAAGTCAGTGCTTGGGTAAGAACCACACAAGCAAAGCATAATTCTTCCTTCTGCTGCCATCATCTAGCATTGTACTGAAAGGACTCCAAATGAAAACATGCTGAAATTTCAAAATTCAGGATGTAATTGCGAGACCTCAGCACTGAATTGGCAGAGATTTGTTATGGAGAAAATGAGCTTTTGTTGAATTTTGCTAAATCTTCTAGATATGTGGAATAGATACATACAAAAACATGTGACTGACTCTCATGATGTTAGACTTGACAGGCCTATTAATGTAAAATGATTTACAGGCAATTTCAGGTGACTTCTTCAGACGGAAAAATGAGTTTTCAGTGACGATGAATATAATGCTGTGAAATTGATTTTATGTGCTTTATTGATAAGACCAAGTGCTGTCTGAGAGTAATTGTGTATTATTGGTGCTGTATGTTAACATTTTACATTTAAGCAGAAATTACACAATGATGTGACTTTGTGCTGTTTCCATTATTGTATGTTACAAAAGTATTAAGCTTTCTTGGAGTCACCTAAACTACTAAAGCAGGATCATGATGCATAACTACTAAAGGAAGATATGTATCAATATATATGTGTAATCTGAAGATATTAACATAGAATCAACATTTCAAGATGACTGCTTTTAATTTCACAGTTTGAGAATGTGCATCATTCATGAAATTAATTAGCATTTTAAGAAAAAGATATATCCATTAATAAAGTTTATTTATGTGTACAGTTAGTACTTGCCTGGGAACATCTTATTAGCTTTGTTTATAAATACAGTCCACAGTTATACTCTAAGATGAGACTTTCAAGACTCAATAGGATTTATTTTTAATTAAATTAATAGGATTTGTGTAACTGAATTTATTTGCTTTTAAATATCTCATTCTCAGTGAAAAAAGGCTATATCCTGCAAACAGCTAAGCATAAAAGTAGTTCCCATGAGCACAGCCTCTATAAAATGACATCTAGCTAACTTTTTTTCCTTTCTAGACATAAAGTATAGCATATCAAAATTTTACTGATTGTCATTTTAAAATGGAAGTAGTATTTCTGGCTTGGCTTGGTGATCTATATTTAAATTTTTTAATGTGTTTTACAGGTGGAATAGATACCAACTTACATATGCATACATTTTTAATATAAGCAATTATTTTTTATTATCTGATTTCTAGGTTCCCCTGGACCATCCAGTGATCACAGCAGTGGAGCTTCATCACCTCTCTTTGACAGTGGCTTACATTTAAATGGAAACTCAACTAACACTGTAAGCAGATGGTTAATAAATGGTGTAAGCTATGTGAGTTTTCTTCCCATTCTGAGCTTCAGAATGCTCGTGTAGGGCTGTAAGACTACCCTAATTTTATTGGGCTTGTTGTTTACTTATTTGTTTGACTGATTCTGAAGTGCACATACTGTAAAATTCTACACTTACAAAACAGTCAACATGAGGCCCTGGTCTGCTAGTTTCTTAATCTGAGGCAACTGGGAAGCTTGTAGGAATGAGCACAGTAAGATTTAATCATTGTTTAGACATGAATTCCTGTGATCTTTTGTCATATTTTGTTGAATTGTGGTATAGTACTATCGAATTTAGTCCAGCTAGAGTTTCTGAAATGTACAAGGAACTCAGAAAAGAGTGTAAAGGTGAATTACTGAGGCAAACTTTTCTGACTGGTAAAAGGGTGAGAAAATGAGAAAGAAATCAAATGGGAAAGCAGACATAGGGGGAAAAAAAAGGCCTGCTTTTTTAATACAGAAGATATTCAATTCTTTTTTTCTGCAGTCACCAGCTGTGATTAAATTAATTGCGGTATCGGGGGGGGGGTGGGGGGGGTGGGTTAGGGAGGGGAGATATTACTCTGGGAAAAATACTAGTCACCAAAGCCAAAGAAGATAGGTTGTCTTAGTAAGCAAAATTTTCTTTTAAGACTGAAGACTGAAGATGTAGATACTAGCTGTACAAGGACGTGGACCTTCATGTTCAAAACTTCTTCAGCTCTGCAGCTGTAGTTTTTCAGTTGGGTATTAAATTTTACAGTAGGAATGCCCAGTGAATGGAGTGAAAGTTTCCTACTCAGCAAGTGACATCAGGTCTGCTTATTGCTCCACTTCTCCCAAGCTTTGCACTCCTTTGAGCACTGTATTTCTAAACTTAAGACTTGTTTTCATCTGATTATACATATCTATGAGATAATATAAATATATACATACAATAAATGAATAAAGAGAAATAAGCCTTTCTGTGCTACCTATACCTTAGTGCTAGGCGTCCAAACTGAGCATAGATACAGAAGGTTTCATGCTTATTTGGTTTTAGTTATGAAGATAATTATTACTTTTAATTACCTTGTACTGTAGCCTTACTAAAGAACTCAAATCTGTCCTCAGAATCCAGCATTCTGCAAGACCTGTCTACTAGGTACTCTGCAGACAAAGTGCTTTCTGCAAATACCTTGTGTTATAAGAACAGGGCTATGGTCAGATGATTGGCTGTGACTGCATTATCATCTTCTAGTAAACCAATGCCTATTAAGTGCTAGAATGATTGTGCCATAAGAACTTTTAATAATCATTATGACTGTACTGTGGGAACTGCACACTTTGAATTCTACGCATTATAAAAACACAAATAAGTGGCTGGAGTTTTGTAGACTTGTAGCAGAGTAATTTCGAGTTAGTTGCCAAGGTAACACACAAAAGATTGTGCATAAACTTGAAATATAAGTGGAAAAACAGAAAGCAAAAAGGGAGAATACTAAGGTACTAGCTTGCTTTTATACAACACTTATTTTTTCTGAAGCTTGACATAAAGTCACATAAGGAGCTACGTATGTACCAGATGCTGTGAAGCAGAACAATCTACCTTATATCTAGCCTAATAAAAAAGTCATGATCTCCCTTCATAGGAAACAAGATGAAAAACTGACGGATTCTTATTGTGAAATACAAAAGCAAGCTTCTAAGTATTCTGAGCAGGAATGACTGGCTTTTGAGATGATCTGCTGGAGATGCGTGGTCAAACTTATCAGAGTAAACTATGAGTGTAACTAACTGAGCTCTGGGCAGACCTTTCATAGTGGTTATAAATGTATTTCAACTTCTAGCTAGTGAGTGGTTCTACTTTTTTTAATTAGGTATTTTCATTTTTTACGGTGAAGGAAGAGCTGAACTGACATTTCCTATAATTGTATTGCCCAGTAGGGATAAGAATATTTAAATCCTTAAATATCCATTTAAATGTCACCTTGTTAGGGAAGATCTGACTCACTTTGAGTATTGTGTCTTGTAGGTTTGTGTAGCATTTGTATGTATCTTCCTAGCCACAGTCAGATTCAGAAATACTGACTGGAAATACTGCTCAGGAAAGCATCAAATGTAAAGGAACGGATGGGAATGCAAGGAATTACTGATACACCAGTTTTACCAAGCTATCATTCAGCGTGTCTGTTCTGAAAAACAGTTGTATAGAGACACTTCAGCTAACTTGTATCATATAGACAGTAGTTCAGCCATCTTAACAGCAAGCTGCTTCTGCCTAATATGATTATACCATTTTCAGTTCTGGTGCTATCTTGCCTCTGTTAGATGTACCTTTACCACCTTGGCCATGAAACATCTGTTATACGTGATGAAGTACCATCTTCAGGATATATGTACATCCTCACTATAATAGCAGAGCAGTTTGCATTGTAGCTCTTTAACAGGGTTCTCTGGAACACAGAAATGAGCTGAAGTGCTCGCTTCACACCTAATTATTTTGTGCTTGGACACTGTGACAAATGCTTTAGAGATTAGTAGTGGCAGATACATTCATCTGTATTTTATAAGTGGTTTCTTAAACACAAAGTGAAATTTCAGAAGGGAACATTAAAACATTCAAAGGAGGTGGTCTTTACGCTAGTGATTACAGGTTGTTTACCCAATGGATTCTAACTACAAAACAACAAAAAAAATACTGTAGAGAGATTCTTCCAGATGTCCATATATCCTAAATGTCCAGGCTAGCTCCCTGGAGTAGTTAGGGGGTATAAAAAACGAATTCATGTTTAAGACATCGAGTTATCTGATAGTTACAGTGTAAAGTGAGAATGAAGTAGGTTTTCATTTCATTGAAAATCCAACTTCCCTGAGTTGTCTAAAAAGGATGTTCTAATAAGAAGTGAGACCATTGTAAATCATTATTTTACATGTGTTCATGTAATTTAAGAACTCTAATTTAATTTTGATAGTGCACATTTAGTTTAGTTGGTTAAATGAAACTAAACAGGCACTTAAATTTTTCTAAGTAGGCTTAAAGTATTTTTCCTTGGGGGCTTTCTTGCATCTGTTAAATTAAAAAGTTTTGCTTTAAAAAAGACATTGCCTACTTTATCACCAAGTTCAGGTTTTTAAGAAGAAAAAATACAGATGCTCAACTCTTGGTGGAACTAGTAGGATGCTAAATCTTTAGTATCTATTATAGTCCTGGTTCCAGGGTGAGAGAATGGCGTGACTCAAGTCTCCAAGCATGTAAAGGCAAAAAGGGAAGAGGACCCAAGAAAGGGGGTGGACCTTCTCTGACAGAGAGTAAATGCTATTCTGATGGATACTTTTAGTGGAGTGTGTGACCAGGTTATTGCATTGAGATTGAACTGATGCCCTACATCTGAAAGAGTTTCAATAGTTTTATTTTTTGAATATTCCTGTAGTGTCTTCCAGTTCAGTGTACCATTGATCATTCTTAAGCTTTATTTTATTCTTCATTTTTATTATCCTGTAGCTCATTTTAAAGAAGAAAAGTTTCAGGATTTCAGATCAATACCTTTTCTATTAGAATGGTTTAGCATGTGATACCGATAGACTCTGCCAACTCTTGATCTGAAAATCTATGTTTTTCTCACTGAATATGAAAGCAATGTAACTTTAAATTGACTTCCAATTCACAGTGTATCATTTGAGAATGTACGCGCATAAAACATAGTTAATGTAATAAATACAATAAATAGCTCACTTAGAGGTACAGCGCTGGTTACTCTGGTGAAAGTAATCATCACCATCTCTTCCATTTATTCACTAAAGAGAAACTCAAAATAGATGAACACAGCTAGCTACACTTAAATATTTTGGACTGCTGCTGTGCTGAAGACATTTATGAAATGAGATAAACACCCTGGAAATAATTGTGCTTCTTTTTCTCAATTAATAAAATATGAAGTGACTGTTCCCTTTCCACCTATGGGGAAAAATATTCCAAATTTTCTGATTACACCTTTCAGAAAGCATAGCAGTAGAAGCTGAAAAAAGCCTATCAAATAATACCTTCTTACTCCACGACTGTAGAATTGTTAAGGAAATGCATTTGATATTGAGTATTGAAATTTTTTGGTTTAGATATAGCTATTCAAAAGTGCTGTATTTTTCTAATTCTGATTAGAGTTGATTGGGACTTTCACTATGAGATTAATAAAGTGAATAAAATGTATCTTTAAAAGTCTTATCTTTTAGTTGTATTGATCCCCACTGTTACTGCTAATCCTTTCAGCAGACTTATTTCTTATAGTATTTAATATATGATTGATCACGTTGGTCATTTCTTCTGCACAGAAATTAATATGGCTTTAGGATTTCCTTAACTTAAAGCATTAACCAAAGCTGGTGAAAGTTAATGTGGTATTGAAAATACAAAGAAAGTCTTACTAGCTGCTAAATAAATGAACACAGAACAGTATTTACTGTTTTATCACACCTAATACTAGTTTTAAAAGTATTCACTTAGAATGCTGAAAATTAATCTGATAGTCACACACCTTCAAAGAAGGCAGCTTCAATCCAAATCTGTTTCCACTAGAAAAGAAGCAGAAGACCAAGAAAGCTCAGATAAAATGAACTTTATTATTTATCTTTCAGAAAAAGGTGCAGCAGGATCAGAATAGAAATATGTTCAGTAGAAAACAGTAACTCGCACTTGTTAGGTATCTGGTTTTATTTTTTATTTATACATAATTTTGCCATACATTGCCATTTCATAAGAATGCATTGTTTCTTATAGTTCATACGAATTTGGTCATTGTAGTTGAAGCAGCAGCAAAAACAAAATTACTTAGGAGATAAAAAAAAATTTATTACACTTTTTAATGACTCCTGGTAGAAATTGGGTAATATTTTCTTTATCCTTATGCATTTGCATAAGTTGCTCTAAGTGCATTGAGTACCTTTCGTTTGCACAGGTAGGCAAACAAATTATTTACTTATTAATGATGCTTTCCTGTTTGGCCTATGATATTC